GCATGAGAGTGTTAAACAAGGTGGGACTCAGGACTCCACCTTGAGGGGTGCCGAGGTTTATTTCTTGAACAGGAGATATAGAGCCTTCAACGCGAACCCGGGCCTGACGTCCAGTGAGGTAAGAGGCGATCCGTTGTAGAAGTCTCCCTTTAACCCCAAACCGCGCAAGTTCAGCTAAAATGAGGGCAGGCTGAGCCGTATCAAAGGCTCCCTTGATATCAAGAAAGACGGAGATGCGGGCAGTCTGATTGCAATAAAAGGAAGCAATGGAGTGTGCTGTGCTGCGATGTTGAATGAAACCATTGAGGGAGTTGTGGAAGCCGCCTATGGTGTGAAGAAGGCGACGATGGAGTATCCTCTCCATCATCTTACAAACACAGGAGGTAAGGCTAATGAGTCGATATTTCCCAGGATCTCCCGGTTTAGGGATGGGGATAATAGTGGCATTTTTCCAGTTGGACGGGAGAACCCCATGTTCATAAGACATATTGTAGAGAGCAAGCAAGGGGCCGTTAGGAATATTAGTACAGGCGTTGAGGATGGAGTAGGTTATCTGATCATCCCAAGGAGAGGTGTCTTTTCTGGAGCGACGAGCACTGTCAAGCTCGAACTGTGTAATGGGATGATCAGTGGGGGCAGGGGAGGTAAGAGCAGCACGAACAACAGGCTCAGACGCATCGATGCGAGCCTGCACTGCCTCCTGCATTGGATCTGGAATTGCCTCAGGGGAGGAAGCTCGTGCCCAGTCCTCCATTAAAGAGGAAGCAAGGGAGGCGGGGTCAGGGTGGGGAGGAGGCCTCCGTCGAGTACCCAGTATAGCAGTAATCCGATTCCATACATAAGAGGGTGACGACTGGAACGATAGAGACCCCGTGAAGGATAGCCAGTCCGCCTCACGTATCCGACGGCGCTCCTGAGTTGCAAAGGAGCACCAATTTTTTAAGTCTTCCCAGTCCTCTGGAGACCGAGACCTCCGTATGGCAGAGTGGAGATCACGGCTTACCTGCCGGAGATGTCTCATGGCAGGGATACGATACCAGTAGTTGGTGGCACTTCTGGGGTGACGGGGAGGGCGTGGAGGGGTAGCGCGATTGACAGAGTCATACACGGCATCAACAAAATCAGCGCTGTAAGAGTCAAGGGACTGGGGGACAACATAGGAATCCGCCCATGTAGAAAGGTATTGGGTAAAGGAAGGAACAGCATCTTGTGTGAGACGAAGGCGAGGGGATCGATAAGGAGCTGATGTCGGGGCAGAGAAGGAGAGCCTGAGATGGGTAGTAACGGCAAGATGGTCACTGTACAGAGCAGGCTCGGTGCAGACGGTAGGATGAAAGGAGGTATGACCGTTCAATAGTAAGCCAACATCAAGGAAACTATGGGGGAGGCGAGTAGGATCGTCAGGACAAAGAAAGTGAACATCATCATCCCCATTAAGAAACTGTGAGAGATGTGAACCGTTAAGGGTACATGGCGTGGGATGATCCGGAGTAAGAGTGGGATGGCGGGCATTAAAGTCGCCAAGAACAATAGTGGGAATCCCATCATGGAGGTCGTGAAGAACCTGGGGGTCCAGAGAATCACTCTTGAAATGAGCATTGACTACACGAAGGGTCCGGTCACCAAGAGTAAGGGAGACAGAAAGTAATTCAGACGGGGGTCCATGTGAGTCAGGTGAAAGGAGACGAACAGATGGAATGGTGTTACGCACAAGGGTGAGGAGGCCACGAGCCTGCCCACGGTACCGAGGCAGGGTGTAAACAGTATAGCCAGAGAGGCGGAGTGGAGTAACATCGTCTGTGATGGTTTCCTGAAGTAGAGCAACATCTACTTGATGGGAGAGCACAAACTGGGCTAGGTCTGTCCGGCGAGGTCTAAGTCCCTTGATGTTCCATTGTAAGAAGAGGAGGGAACGGCCTCCGGTGTGAGATGAGTCGGTGGGGCTAGACAGGGCTCCAGAGGAGGTACCAAATTCTGTTGAGAAAAATGGAGAGGGAGGAGTGGGAGAGCGAGGGATGGATCCTCCATCTCGGGAGATGGAAGGAGGCGGGTCATCAGGGCTTGCAAAGTGCGCCCCTGTTGGGTCAGGGTGTCCAGAATGAGTTGTTGTTGTCTCTGCAATGTCGCAATTGTTTTCACAAACAAGTCGAGTTGGGCAGAGAGAAGGTTGATTTGCTTGGAGTGGCGATCCAGACGGAGAGTGATTGTTTCCATAGAACCAACTTGGTGTATCTGTGCATGAGCTGGAGGTGGCGGCGAGGATTGCCGAGGGCCCGACTGGGCAGGTGGTGGTGGTAGCGACGGAGAGGGACGGTGAGGGTTCAGTTGAGTAAGAGGTGGTGGTGCTGGTGAGAGACAGCGGGGGTCCAGGTGGGCAGGAGGTGGTGGTGACTGTGTGGCAGGGCCGGCAACGACCTTGTTCCAAGAACGGTAGGGAGAGGGAGGGAGGGGAGAAAGGATGGGTGGTAGGGGTGATAGGCAGGGTGGTAGAGGAGAGGAGAGGAGATCAATGGGAAATCCTTGGTGGATGGAAGAGGCGGTGGTGGATAGGAGTGAGGTTTGGTTGACAGGGGCTTCGTCAGAGACAAGGGCGGTGGTACAAGGTAAGTTTTCCCCGGGCGAGTGCCAGGACGCTGTGGACAATTGGCATTCCAGGCGTGGTGACTGCCATGGCAATTGACACACCGTGGAATAACTGGGATTTTGTTCTGAATTTTCGATTTGCATTCCACTGTTTCGTGAGGACCTGCACAGAAACCGCAGGCGACCATCCTCGTGCACTCCCAGGTGCGATGTTTCCACGATTGGCAACGACCACAGATTTTCGGGGTTCCGATAAATCGGTCGAGAGGACAGTTGTGAATTGGTCCTACATTCACCTTCGGAGGGAGGGGGCCCACCCACCAGCCGATGAGTTCGTTGGATGGACGCTTGGAGACCGGGTTGATGCGGCGTTCCATGTCCAGTAGTTGTGGGAGAAGAGGGCGAAGATCGTCGATAGGGATCTCCCAGGGTACGTGGCGAACCATTACCTTGGTACGACGAGTTTCTGGGGTAATGATGGTGAACTTCAGCATCACCTCCCCCTGGGGAGCAGGAAAGCCCACCTGAGTGAGCAGGCGTACCGTCTCGTCCATTTGTGTGGTGACTATCACGGCTGTGGGACCTCGGCGGAGGCGAAGTGTTGAGTCCTGAAGTGGAGAGCAGTGACGGAAGAACCAGGTCGTCCGTGTGCTCAGAGGCAAGTCCCGAGGGAAGGCGAGACGACGAAGGCGCGACGGGGCAGGGAGACAAAGGGAATCCCCTATGTCCATCGTCGGCGGAGGGTTGGTCATTGAGCCACATGTAAGCTCACTTGGGGACCCCGATGACAGGAGTCCACCCTCTACAGCCCCAGAAGGGGTGCAAGGGGGAGCCGTGGCCCCTGTTCGAGACCCTGACTTCTGAGGTTTCTGCTTCTTCTTTGACGTGTCTTCAAGAAGAAAGTCGTCAGCATCACTGTCACCTACTGCCGCCGTTTCCAACGAACGGGAGCGTTTAACGGCGGGCATAGAGCACGTTGGCAACACTGCAGTCAGGTGGAGTGGTAATGACGTCACTGCTACGTCACACTATCACATTGCGCATGTGCAAACTTGAAAAACTTTGCTCAGAGGGATCTGGTGGTAGGACCAGATGTTTTATCCCCCAAAAATGACAAAAGTCCAAAAGTAAAAAAAAATATATATGCCACTGTGCTGATAACTGGGTCTTACTATAGTTGTCTGCACAGGCTGGGATTGGTAGACTCGCTGAATTCGTCAGAAATACGAATTTAAGGAGCAGTCTCTTACAGCCTTTGTTGACACTACGCAAGCATGCGATAGTCAGGCTACATTCCTCAGACAGACAGACAGACGGGCAGATCATTGCACGTCATAATGTTTATTGTAATAATTGGCAACTATCACGCGCTCTAATCAACGGTATCAAGAGTGGGGCAGTGTCTACTAGCAGAGTTTTAGTTTAACAAATTTATTGGCAGAGCTTGTAGTACAGTTTGCCTATTCTGAGTAATTCAGTCAGGTCTTGACACTGAGGGTGGTATCACTTCTCACTGTCACGCAGGACAGAGGTTCACACACAAAGAAATACATCATATTCATTAACAACTATAAATGTATAGAGGTCAGATTCAAATGGATAATGTCACTGTTCACTGCCATGCAGGACAGAGGTTCGTACACAAAGAGTTGCATCATATTCATTGACAGTACATATACCTATATGTAAACACGCACACACACATATACATACATATACGTATATACATACACATATACACGTACACGCACATATACATGCACACACGCACACATACATACATATACGTCGGTCAGATTCATGTGGGTAATGTCACTTTTCACTGCCATACAGGACAGAGGTTCGTACACAAAGAATGCATCATATTCATTGACACTATATATAGGTCAGATTCATGTGGGTAATGCCACTGTTCACTGCCACGCAGGACAGAGGTTCGTACACAAAGAAGGAAATACATCACATTCACCAGTAGCATATATAGGTCAGTGGATCACATACATTGGAGTCATATTCTAATTGAAGACTAATCAGCTACTAGCAGAGCTCCACACACAAAAATACATGATGCGTCAACTCTGCTCCCGTTTAGTGGGGAGGTTGCCAGCGACGATGAGATGAAGGATAACACACCGTTTATATTTCTATAACCATTTCTTCTTTGCTGAAGCTTATGTGTTACATGCATATTTTTTTATACATTTATATTTTAATCAAAATATGAGGTAATTACATTGTTATTGGTATATTTGGGGAAATCTAAATGTTTCTTGGGTTTTTTTCATTTTTAGGTAACTCAGATTATTCAGGCGTGCTGTTGAGGTCTGTGAAGCTACTACCAGGACTGCTCAGCTCTTCCCTTATCTAACTGGTAATGATTTGATTAGGTTTTCCTTAACTTTATCAGTGATGCATGACAGGAGCTGATAGTTGATAATCAGGTTGAAAGTTCGTGTTCACTTTCATTGAGTCCCAGCCAACCTAACTTCTCAGGACAAAGAGGGTAAGGTTATACTTTCAGCTGTACTCTTGTATATTTTATCTTTAGTTTTTGAATACTTGAACTTAGTATGATGAGTTTTATATTTTTACTGTATTTGGTAAAAAGGTCACGGCAGGGTTAGCTCCAGAGGGATAATTATCAGATATGGCCAGTGATATGTGCGGTCTTGGGTATGAGAGTTTGTTGACCAAACTGGAGTGGTCCACTGAAGAATTGGCGAGGGCCAAGTTAGAAATTGAGAGGGCCACGTTGGAGAACCTGAAATTAAGGAAAGAGCTGGCGAAGTTAAAAGGAGAGGCTGGACGAGTAAAGCCAGTGTCTGACGAAAAATCAAACGAGTGGAAAGTCGTGAGTAGTGGGAGGACCAAGCTGGTGGTCAAGAAGCACTCGAAGGATACGACAACAACGACAACAACAGCTAAGTGTACCAACCCGTTCAGTCCCTTGATAGACGAATTGGACGTTAGTACAGTCAGGGGCAGGGATGACAAGGAAGGTATAAAAACTTTAATTGTTGGTGACTCACAGGTAAGGTACATGGACAGGGCCTTTTGTGGTAAAAACAAAAATAGGATGAGGGTGTGTTTGCCAGGAGCTGGGGTGGGGGATATAGTTGACAGGATGGACAATATCTTGTCTGGTAATGGGAACAAACCCATTATCTGCCTCAGTGCAGGAGGCAATGATATTGGCCGGTGTAGGAGCGAGGAACTTCTTGATAAGTTCAAGGCAGCCATAGATCGTATTAGGACTAAGGGAGGGATCCCTATCATATGCGGTGTCCTGCCTAGAAGGAGAGTTGGCAGTGAATGGTTGTCAAGGGCAGTTGGTGTTAACGACCGTCTTGACAGATATTGCAAGTCAATATCAGTCCCATTCATTGACAACTGGGACAACTTCTATGGCAGAAGGGACCTTTATGCTAGGGATGGGGTGCACCTGTCTAGGGATGGAGTAGCAACCCTGGCTGGGGCTCTAGAGGGGGCAGTTCAAAAGATATCGAAGTCTTTAAACTGCTAAGAGAACATAGGAGCACGGGGGTGGAGGAGACTGCAGTGGGAGCGGGTAAACAAGGCGAAAGATTACAGGGAAATAGTGTTAGGAATGATGACAAAACTAAATTAGACAGGGAGTTTAAAACTAAACGCGGTAAGGGAAGGACTCAGAACACGACTAACTTAAATGTATACTACGCGAACAGTAGAAGTATGAGAAACAAAATGGATGATATTAAGGCCTTGGTATGTACCGAAGAAATCGATATAATTGCATTCACTGAAACATGGATCAACCTAGACACACGTGAATTACCAGTCGAATACCAAATTGCGGGTTACAAACTGTTCCATACCGATAGGCAGACCAGGAAAGGAGGCGGAGTAGCAATCTATGTTAGGGATAATCTGAAGTGTGAAATAAATAAGGAAATAAAAACTGAGAGGAATACAGAAACAATTTGGATAGAATTAAGCGACGGTCGGGAAAAATTAATCACAGGGGTAATATATAGACCCCCCAATCTTGATAGCGTCAATGAGCGACTTATCTGGGATGAAATGCGCAGGGCTTCCATACACAACAAAGTCTGTATAGTAGGCGACTTTAACCTTGGCCAAATAGATTGGACTGTCCTTACGGGTAACTCAGAATCAGAGGATTTTCTCGAGACGATCCAGGACTGTTTCCTAAGTCAACATATAACCGAACCCACACGGGGTAATAATATACTGGATTTAGTTCTGACGAACAGAGAAAACCTCATTAGCAATGTCGAGGTAGGGAACGAACTTGCAAACAGCGATCACAAAGAAATTCGATTCCAGTTAGATTTTCAGGGCAGACGTAAGGAAAATTCCACTAAAGTACCAGATTTCAGAAGGGCAAACTTTGACAGTTTAAAGAGGCAGCTGAGAGAGGGGGTGTCGCGCTTGGCCGTGAACCTGACAGATGACACCGACCTGATAACGAGATCTGAGATTGCCGAGTTCCACGATAATTTAAATAGTGAGTTACTTAATGCACAAAGGCAGAACATACCATACAAAAAACTCAGATCAGACAACAATGACCCTAAATGGATAAATAATTATTTAAAGAACATCATTGGCCAAAGGAAGGCTATAGGTAGAAGGATAAATCGTGGCGAAATTCACCTCCGGGACTATTATAGGGTATTGGCGAGTAGAGTTAAAACCGAGATAAGGAAAGCAAAGAGGAATAATGAGGTAAGGATAGCAAGGGAGGCGAAGACAAACCCCAAAGGATTCTACCAAATGTATCAAACTAAAACACGAGAAAAGATTGGACCAATACGGTCAGACTCCGGCGAGCTCACTGATAACGACGGAGAAATGAGCAATAATTTGAATAAATATTTTTCAACAGTTTTCACCACCGAAAATCTAAACATGATACCCGAGGCACCGACTCTATTCAGAGATAGTGAAGAAAACAAATTAAGTGAGATAGTAGTGACTAGTAACGATGTTAGTAAGCAAATAGACAAACTAAAGCCTAATAAGTCACCTGGTCCCGATGAGATATTTGCCAGAGTATTAAAGGAATGTAAGGAAGAGCTTAGTATGCCCTTAGCAAAGTTGTTTAACATGTCCTTAAAAACAGGTGTAGTACCAGAATCCTGGAGGATAGCGAATGTAATACCGATTTTCAAGAAGGGGGATAGATCACTATCCTCTAACTACCGCCCAATCAGTCTAACATCAATAGTAGGCAAATTACTGGAAGCAATCATTTCAAACTCTATCCGAAATTACCTGGAGAAGCACCGTTGGTGATGATCAATGATTCCCAGCATGGCTTCACAAGCGGACGTTCTTGCCTAACTAATCTATTAACATTCTTTTCATCAGTTTTCGAATCAGTGGACGAGGGGCACAATTATGATGTGGTATATCTCGACTTTAGCAAAGCCTTCGACAGAGTCCCCCACGAAAGACTAATTAGAAAGGTAGAAGCTCATGGATTAGGGCGTGGTTACAGGACAGGAAACAGCGAGTGAGCATTAACGGCACTAAGTCCCATTGGAGCAACGTCACAAGTGGAGTTCCCCAAGGCTCAGTACTTGGACCATTATTATTTATTATATACATAAACGACATAGATATCGGCATAGACAGCAACATAAGTAAATTTGCTGATGACACTAAAATAGGACGTGTTATCAAATCTGACGAGGACTCGGCAAAACTACAGGAAGATCTAAACAAATTTTTCGAATGGTCTGAAAAATGGCAGATGAAATTCAATGTCGACAAATGTAAAGTACTCAGTATAGGAGATGTAAACAGGGAAACCAGATACCAGATGAACAACGATGCCATAGAGAAATCCGACTGCGAGAGAGATTTAGGAGTAATGATAAGTAGGAACCTTAAGCCAAGTAAACAATGTGTTTTTGCTCGGAACAAGGCTAATAAAGTACTTGGGTTCATACAAAGGAGTGTTAGTTTCAAGACTAGCGAGGTCATCCTAAAACTGTATCTTGCTCTTGTGAGACCACACCTGGATTACGCAGTTCAGTTCTGGTCACCGTATTACAGAATGGATATAGAATCCTTGGAAAGAATTCAGAGGAGAATGACAAGACTAATCCCGGGCATCAGGAACCTTGAGTATAGAGACAGGTTAAAGAATCTTAATTTGCACTCCCTCGAGAGACGTAGAGCGAGGGGCGACCTGATAGAGGTGTATAAGTGGAAGACAGGGCTAAACAAAGGGGACATTACAAAGGTACTCATATTATCCAACCAGGAGCGAACTCGTAACAATGGTTATAAATTAGACAAATTTAGATTTAGGCGTGAAATAGGTAAACACTGGTTTGGAAACAGAGTAGTGGATGAATGGAACAAGTTACCAAATATCATCATTAACTCGAATACGCTGAATTGCTTCAAACATAGGTTGGATGCTCATATGAGCAATAGGGGTTGGGTGTAAACGGGACTGCCCAGTATGGGCCAATAGGCCCGCTGCAGTTTCCTCCATTCTTATGTTCTTATGTTCTTATATGCGCTTTTATCATATATTTTAGACGTGTAAACAGATTGGACTTGTGTCAGCTGACGGCAAATGTCTTAGGGTAATCATGACAACAGAAAGTAACTTCTACCATTAAATGTTTGTATCCGATAAATATTTATGAAAATGTATTGAAATGTAAGATTGAATTTGTGATGACATAAAAATGTTTTAAATGATAGTATAACGTCATGACAAACAGGTAATTTGGCCAACAGAAAATGTACGCAACTTTTTACTTTTTACTTTTATCCTCTTCGCCACTGATCGGCTTGTTAGCCGCTTGGGCGATCGGTCACGTCTCTTTTCATTTATATTCTTCACCAAAAGATCGGCTCGCTAGCCGCCCGGGCGATCGGTCACGTCTCTGTCACGCACTGTTGGCAAATACTGGGCATGCACCGGCTCCTGAATGTACCTGAATCCGCTCCAGTGTTGGTCAAGTCTTCTCTTGAAAGAGCTCACACTCGGTGCCGTCACAACACTCTCTGGTAGATTGTTCCAAGAGTTTACAACCCTCACTCCGAAAAAGTTTGCCCTCACGGTTTTCTGGACTTGCGGCTTCTTCAATCTTGAGCTGTGACCCCTTGTGGGGCGAGCGTCCGCCAGCTCCAAGTAAGGACACTCAACTGAGTAGTGACCCCTGAGATGCTTATACACCTCAACTAGGTCCCCCCTTGCCCGTCTGTAGTATAAGCTAGGCAAGTTCAGGCGCTCCAATCTCTCAGGGTAGCTGAGGTGCCGAAGTGCAGGCACCAGTCTGGTGGCCCTCCTTTGAACATTTTCAACCAACTGACAGTCCCTAGCATATATCGGGGACCAGACGGGGTGACAGTACTCCAGATGGGGAAACACTTCACTCTTGAAGATCGTTACGAGGGACGGACCGTCTAGATATCTGAACGACCTTCTTATAAGACCCAATAATTTATTTGCCTGATTTACCTTCTTCTCACAATGGCCCGAGAACTTCAGCTCATTGTCAACATACACACCTAGGTCCTTCTCACATACAGTCTCAACTAGTACATTTTCTTCATCCCGTTGGGACATATGATACGCCTCCTTACCGTTGGTACGCCCCAGGTGCATCCTCTTACACTTCGTGACATTGAATCTCAGCAGCCATTTCTTCGACCATTCCTGGAGCCCACAGAGGTCCTTTTGCAGCTCTTCACAGTCCGCTTGGTTCTTAATTTCCCGAAATAACTTGCCATCATCGGCAAACATTTGTATGGAGGAGTGTACAACGTCAGGCATGTCATTTATGAAACAAACAAACAACAGCGGGCCCAATACACTGCCCTGTGGTACCCCACTTGTTACAGGTACAGATGACGATTTCGTGCCATTAATCACCACACACTGCTTGCGGTCATGTAGAAAGTCTTCTATCCACGCTAGGACATTTCCCCGAATTCCGTACCCTTCCAGTTTGATTTTCAGCCTTTCGTGGGGTACACTGTCGAAAGCCTTGGCAAAATCTAGGTAAATATTGTCGATATTACCACCCCGTTCCAGAATATGGGTCCAAATATCCAATACCTTGAGCAATTGTGTTAAGCAAGAGCGCCCCGGCATAAAACCGTGTTGGCAATCTTTTACAAGGTTGTTTCGTAGTAGATGTTCCATCGCGGCATCTCTGATATTACTTTCAAGTACTTTACATATTATGCTGGTCAGGCTCACCGGTCTATAGTTGTTCGTGGAGTGACAATCGCCCTTCTTGAAGATAGGACTCACATAAGCCACTTTCCATTCACTGGGGACCATTTGTTCATCCAGGCATTTACAAAACAGGATCTTCAGGGGCTCTGCAAGCTCGTTGCACAGCTCTCTTAGCACTCTAGGATGCACCATATCAGGTCCGGGACTATTATGGACCTTTTAGCCTGGACAGTTTATTTCTAATACCCTCTTCTGTGAACACAATGTGGGTCAGTGCTGTGTCGAACCATCTGTCCTCAAACGCAGGAAGGTTAGTTGCATCCTCTCTTGTGAACACTGAGGAAAAGAAGCTGTTCAATGCCTCAGCTTTATCCTGGTCAGAATCTGCGTAACTACCATCTTCAAGCCTCAGGTCTGATACTCCTACTCGCGTTTTCAATTTCGACTTTGCATAGCGGTAAAACGCCTTTGGGTTTGACTTGACCTCGCATGCAACCAGCCTCTGGAACTCCTTTTCAGCCCTCCTACACTCTATCTTTGCTTGGTTTCTGGCTCTTGCATACATCCTCCTGTCTTGCTCATCGTTTGACCCAACCCACGTCTTGAATTTCTGGGTTTTCTTCTTAATTTTGTCGACCGCCGCATGGTTCATGTGTAGTGATCCCCTCGTATTCTTAGAAGCACTGGGTTTGGTCTTGGGTATATATTTATCGATCAAAAGGGTCATTTTACTAGTTATGATATTCAGCGTAGTGTCTGCGTTCTTGTACCTTAATAAGTCAGGCCAGTTGATACCCCTCATCTCTTCCCTCATCCCATTGTAATTTCCCTTGTAATATTTGCACCTTGGCCTGTGTAGAAGAAATATTAATTGAATATATGTTGAAATATGAGGTTAACAAGTGATAGATATATGAATAACTTTTTATTTTACGAAACCAGTATAAGTTTATGCTAGTTAGCGTCTACTGAGTGTTGGTATTTTCTGGGAGAATCTGCAAGAAACGCTGGGAGTGACAATTGAAAGGGGAATTGGGTCCATTGGTTTGTCTTAGGTATTTCAGGTACAACAATGAAATAGTTACCATTTTATTTTTAAATTTTCTTGTCAGGTTTTGAAAATCATATACTGGTCACGACGCAGCTTAAGAACACAGTGTTTGTCAAAAATAAGTTTACATGTGAAAGTTTAACCAAGATGTACAATGTAACTGTGAGTTTATTTAGGTAAAGGTGTAAGGAGAAAAGAGAGACACAAGGTGCTTCAGGATGTACGCCTCATTATCGTCATCTCGGCGACTTTCTTTAACCTTGATTAGCCGATATTTTTCCAAGAATGCTGGGAGCGTCTGGCAGCGCGACGATGGCTTACAAAGGTGCGTTGTAGTGACTAACTTGAGAAAGTGTTTTACAAATGCTTTATAAAAAAGATTATAAAAAAACCCAGATAAATAGAAACTCATAATATGTCCCACATTGTCTACAGACCTTTTGACAATTGTTTCCTATTGTGTTTATATAATATATGGCTTGTATATAGTTGTATTAATGAGATGTTTTGACGATACGAATATATAAATAATCAACTCACATCACTCTAAACACCACAATTTCACCTCTTTTGTAAACAAAGTCCCAGACACTAACATAACTGACGTTACTGACTAACTGACTTTAAACAACCTTGGATGACTCGACTTTCAACCATCTCAGACAGAAGTGGGAGAACGTGGTGGCCGAGTGGGGCGAGGCGAGCGAGCTGGAGTTCTTCGTGTTGACTCCGCAAAACTTGGATGAAGTTATGGACTTTCAGGCCAGATATTTTTACCCGAGGAACAATCTAGTAACGCACCTCAGTTGTTGTACACTACCAATAGGGTGATATACTGGTATGATGGCTATATTTGGTGTAGGATATATTAACAAATGAGAGGCAAGGTGAAGAAGGCCATGAACGGTGAAGACATGGAATATAACTAATTCTTTTTGTGGTCTCTCAGGAGTATTTAATTTCTAGGTGATGGTTTTATATACAGTGTTTAGGCTTGGGTATGAGCTTGAAGACAAAAATGGATGAAGGCCACGTGAGGAGAAGCTTAGCGTCGGGGATGTCAGTTGGGGTGAGGGAGAAGGCCACGCAGAAACAAGTCGCACAGTCATTAGCTTCCATGATCACCGCTGATTATTCATTTCTATATAATGCGACAAAGTACAGCACTAAACTTGAGGTATGTAACCTACAGGAGGAGTACAGTATTCATCTTTTTTACCTGTTCTTGCATATCAAAAACTATTTTAAGAATGAAGACTTTCACTGGATGATAATTCAGACCAAAGTAGAAAGCCATTCAATTTTTTTAGTTATATTATTATTATTATTATTTTTTACAGGATTAGCCCACCTGGGCACAAGTCACTGACCCACATCAGGGCCTGGGGGGCGAAAATGAAATAATAATGACAACACTGAGAATAATGATAATAATAATAATAATGATAATGATAATAATAACGCAAATAATAATAATAATAATAATAATAATAATAATAATAATAATAATAATAATGCAAATAATAATAATAATAATACAAATAATACAAATAATAATAATAATAATAATAATAATAATAATAATAATAATAATAATAATAACGAACCATAAAGAAATACAAAAATGAAAAAAGATCAATAGTGAGGAACGCTATATGTATGTTGTGTTGTCAACAGTACGAGAAACAATTAAGACCCTGCAATTGTGTGTAAATGAGGCAGAAAGTCAGATCAGCAACCTGGGACTTAGTCACAATTTTCGTGATGCCATGTGGCAGCAGGGTCTACCATTAGACAACACATTATGCTTCCAATATCTTCCCAGGCGGCAGTACCTCCTTGTTGTTGATAGCTGCCTACTACCTACTACCTATATATATATATATATATATATATATATATATATATATATATATATATATATATATATATATATATATATATATATATATATATATATATATATATATATATATATATATATAAATATATATATATATATATATATATATATATATATATATATATATATATATATATATATATATATATATATATATATATATTATTTATTTATTTTTATTTTTTAGAAATCGTATGCTTTGATTGTCAATAAAGTATGGAGGCAGTTGGACGTGTTCCAGGATGCAGGAGTAGACCAGGTCCAATATTTAACGCGCGGCTGTTTCCAACCAGACTATCCTCGCCGAGGTGTAACTTTAAAGATGATGCAGGTGGGTAATGAACCAGGTGTAGTGGAGATATAAAGAACACGAACAGGTAGACAGAGAGACAAGCCAAATTTATTTGATAGAAATGTACTGTACATGTGTCTGCTTGTTGGTACATGAAGGAAATGTTTATAGTCATTTTGATAAGACATTTAACATTATTTAATTTATTACAACTCAGCATTGCTGTAGATGCCATGTTAGGAACACAAAATACCCATAAAAAGTCTATTAACCATAAATGAAGTTGAGCCAATCACAGATGAGTTATAAGCACAGGATTGGCTCTTGTTGATAGATTCACTCGTTTGGTCGGCACTTATCTCCTGGTATCGAGGTGGCGGCAGGTATTTTGGTGATTGTCTATCAAGAAACCTTATAAGAAGTTCAGAGTTAGAACTTTTCATTGTACAATGGAATGAAGACCAGTAGCTGCTCGTAGCTGATCATAAGACAACAGTACTCTAATATTAGTTTGATGTTCGTAAGTGACGCAAGTTTCGCAAGGTGTTCAAGTGGTACTTTGAACTTCTTAAGTTTCCTTGTATAGCATTGTAGGGAGCTGGAATGACCATCTCTTATACCGACTGTTAATTTTACTTCTTTTCACGGAAAACCCTCGTTTTCTGCTCAAAAACACACTGTTTTTTAATTTGAAATCTTTCGTCGCCTTTCAGATGAATCTTGAATTAGGTTCCGAACAGGGCTGTCGAATAGCCTGTGGTATCTCCAGCAGTTTAAAAGCTGAAAAATGCTTTATTAAAGCGGGGTTCGACGTACGCACCAACTTGGACCTGCGCACTCTGGAGGACGGCCTGGTAGACCTCTCCCGTATGGGTCATAAGCACATGAAGGGTTTCACCAAGAAGCTGTCACCCGAGGCAGCCCTGAAGTCCAAGGTGTGAAGAAGCATCGACTAGCAGTGGAAATATGACTCATTCTATTACAGTTATTAGTGAAGCTATCATTGCAATTACTTTTACAGTTGTTATAATACAGTACTTGTATTACAAACGCCATTAATGTTACTTTTACGCATTACAAGTATTATTATACATGCTGCTGTCTAATAATACAACTGTTATTACATACGATATATATTTGTAACTATTACGAGGAGTTCTGTAACATCATTTATTACATCTACACTTTACTGCTAGTACATTTGTTATTACAGCTATTATTACAACTGATTTTATACCTAACATCAATGTGTTTGTTGTGTGAACTTATAAAAATGTAACTTTAAACTTGTAAAGTTAACATTATTCTGGGAAATGTTTTTGCTTCGAAATTTTTTATACATTTCAACATTTCTCATTTATATTTTTGAGAATCATTTAAACTTGTGAACAAATCCTCTCGTGTGTTATAATATTTCCTGGGACCACAGCTCCTTCCTCAGGCCCACCTACCTCCCTTCCTCAGGCCCACCTACCTCCCTTCCTCAGGCCCACCTACCTCCCTTCCTCAGGCCCACCTTGCAGTTGTAACACTTCAGGGTAGTCGATGTGCATTCTTCCTTATGTACGTTGTTATGGGCACAACGCACACATACTGCGGATTCCTGTAGTACTTGGTGTTGTGCCCAAACTGCTGGCACTTAAAATATCTAAGTGGAAAGGGGATGTAGGGCCGCACTGTAACCCTCTCACACTCATCCACTATGTGATGGGGTAGGAGTGTCTTGCCAAATATCAAGGTTACTGGCCATGTGTTTCGTCTGTTACCGTCAACTTTCTTTGTGAAAGATCTAGCAGGAACTACGTCTTGATCCTTTATAACGTCCACAATAACATCTTCACTCAAGTGCTGAAATTCGAGGCTGGCTACAATCCCTTTGTAGGCATTAAGGACGTTTGGTACATAGGCCTTTACTTCATAATTATGAAAGAATTGAAGATTCATGGCGTGTTTAACCTGACTAGAGTTCATGAGCTCGACCTGCAGTTCACCGTTCCTCAGGCGCCGAACATTCGTCACGTCCCCCAATGGCGGCCTTGATATATTTACTTATAATAAATCCATTAATGCCGTCAAAGGAGCCCTGATGCCTGATGAGTCAGGTGTTCTCAGGTCTTGTCTGGAAGTCTTGCATTTGTCGGTCTGTTAGTGGTCTAGATAATGTTGTTTCTTGCACCTCTCCACTTCGGGACGAGGTACTTCTTTGGTCATTTCGGTCCTGGTCGCCCACTCTCCCTCTGTGAGGGATAGAGTCTGATCCTGGGGTGGTGAGCCACCACCCCTTAATTAAATAGAAAACAATCTAGGGTAAAAACAGGAGTTGTTGTTAATTAACAGGATCTCCGAAAAGGCCGGCAATTGGTTCCTTTCCGGGGCTGTTAACTCACAACGAACATTACCACGTATTTACGACTCGTAAACACTGGCCTCTCTTGTGCTGTCAGGGGATGATCGTCACCACTTGATCTAGCTCCGGTGTAGCAGCCCACATTAACCCCCGCCAACTATACCAGGGGTTACAGTGGGCTAGCCCAAAATATACCCCGGGGTATAAAATAGCCCAGGCTATATTATACCCCGGGGTATATTTTGGGCTAGCCCAGACTATACCTCTCTAGTCCAGATTATACCCCCTTATGTTTTTCATAAATAAGTCTGTATTTCAATGTCCAGAGTTTTTCCATCATAATTTATATATTTTGGGTTAGGCCAGACTATATCTCTCCTGTCCAGATTATACCTCCTTGTGTTTTTCATAAATAAGGTAACTCGGGGGAATAATATACTGGATTTAGTATTAAGTAATATATAAAATACATTACAAATTTAGAAATTTAAGAAACATTAGGAAATAGCGATCACAAAGTCATCAGATTTGACCTTAACTTAACAAATGAGAAGAAAGAAAATAATAGAATTGTAACAGACTTCAGAAAAGCATATTTTATAGGTTTAAGAGAGAGGCTTAGGAATGAGGTGTGGGGTGGTATTACCCCACTAGGGCTGGAACAAGTGAATTCAGGTCCCGTGGGAGAGGTAGGTTAGGTTAGGCTAGGTGAGAAATAAAATCAAAATTGAATATCTGAGTGTTTTTTAATTTAAATTAAAATAGTTTAGCCAGACCACTGAGTTCAAAACAGAACTCTGATAGGGCTGGTTTCTGAGTGTGTGTGTGTGGGGGGGGGGGGTATAATCTGGCCTAGGTTTTTTTATAGCCTAGCCTGTTTTATACCCCGGGGTATAAACTGGACTAGCCCAGAATATACCCTGGGTATAAAACAGGCTAGCCCACTTTAACCCCGGGTATAGTCTCGGGAGGGGGTATATTTTGGGCTGTTACACCGGTACGTATCTAACACACCCCCTTGTGGCACTGCCCGCAGGGTTCACCTTGCACTAATTAATCAAGTGAGTCACTAGACGCTACAAGAGAATAAGCTATTGCTTGTCCGCTGTCGCCGTCCTGACAGTTGTGTACTGTGGTGTGTGTCGAGTTATGACACACATACAGTACTATTCACCATGTACCCGTGCATTTGTTGCCATGACAACTTTGTTGCAGCATTGAGACGTTCTTAAGTTTAGTAGAGACTCAGTCATTATTTACATTGATTTAGATCCTGTGCAGATATAATATTCTGTTAATTGGAAGGCGTAATTACACCGAAACCCCCCAAATCGCCAGTTTTTAGACTTGACCTTCACCTATGACCTTGACCTCTAAGGGTCACGAAAAGTATCCAACTATAAAGGTTATCATCAGCTCAGTGGTTTACATTAAAGAATCATATTGATAGCCCCTATGGTTAATGGATTATGATACTCTATCTATTTTCATAGATTATGACTAACATCACTATATTGGTTGCTTTCGAAACATCAAAATAGCCTGAAACTAGATTTTCCAGATGACCCTCATCAGTTTTGTGAACCATGGACATTGGGCTTTCAGAAAAAAAATATATTCCCCCTTTGTCCCCTGAGATGATACAAATTAGCCCAAATATGCGCGTTGGGCCAAAGACTACCTAGTGGAAATGACCTGGCTGTGCCTGTAGGTAGGGTTACGATTAACGATATTCACCTTAATGACGTTAATCTAGACTGACTTGGCTCTCTCTCTCTCTCTTTCTCTCTCTCTCACATCATATATTACACGCTATATCACTCTCATGCTTCCCCTCTCTCCCTCAGTGAGCTCTGGGACCCTCTCTTAGAAGTACACGGAAACACCACACCATAATGTTGATCCCGAGGGAGCTATTATGTTCTCTGTCCCCCCCCTCCCCCTCCCACTCCCGACCACAGCTGGAGGGTGAGAGACGGAGTGTGTGAGGCAGTGAGAGGGATGAGTGTGAGGTAGAGTGAAGAGGGAGAGTATGATGCAGGGTAAGAGGGGACAATGTGAAAAGGTTGTTCACTGATGACAAATAAAGATATGCAATCAACCAATCAAATAGCCATCTTTACCTCTGAGGGTTGGCTACCACGGCCCACCACTACGTAATAATATATTTTCTTTTACCAATTCTTTCAGCTATTGCATATTTTCCTAGCTCCCATACCTTAAATTTTACCCAATAATATGCGGAACACAATTCTCTCATCCCTAATCACATGTTGAAAGTAGTTAATCCTTAGTCTGTAAATTTTCAATATTTTTCCATCGGTACAACTTACCCTCCAGATTCTAAAACCTTTCCAATCTCCTCTGACTGACACCACAAAAGATTTACTGACCATTCTTAGCCTTGACGCATTATTTTCCTCGAGGTAACACAGTGTCATTTATTGTTGTATGGTATTTTGGCTTCAGTTGTCAAGGGTGTTTGGGTGACTTCTACTGCACATATCTTCAATTTGTTTTGGGATTATTTTCTTTCTTTCTTTCGTTCTTTCTTTAGTTTTTTCCGACTTGACCAATAGGAGTTATGATGATCCACAAATGTTATTTTTTTTATGTTTTGTTGTTGTCTTTTCAATGTCATTTTCTTATCATCGTTGCTGCTCTGGACGGAGGAGTTTGTTGACGCAGGTTTGGAGGAGGAGAGTAGTTTGTTAGAAGAGAGCAGGAGGAAGGAGTGGTGTTATGGCTCTAGGTTTGGAGGAGGAGGAGACGAGTAGTTGTAGGAGGTAAGTTTGGAGGAGGAGGAGGAGGAGGAGTAGTTTGTTAGAATAGAGCAGGAGGAAGGAGTGGTGTTATGGCCTAGGTTTGGAGGAGGAGGAGACGAGTAGTTGTAGGAGGTAAGTTTGGAGGAGGAGGAGGAGGAGTAGTTTAGGAAATAAGTTGTTTGAGGGGTGTAAGTTTGGAGGGGCAGTTTTGGAGGAGAGAATTATATGGAGTAGAGATCAAGCAGCGTTTCTTGGAGTACCTGAGGCAACACATTCACAGGATTGACGTAAAAAACACACATATAAATTTTTGTTTCATCAGTTTGTAAGGACTGGTTTTATTTTTCATTCGTTCATTGGTAAACACAATATTGTAAACATAATTATTTACAACAGATACTGGACAAGAGATCTTCAAAGGCTCAATTTACATAAAACAAATCTGTCTAGTGATGTGTGTGACGTAAATGGTGTACAGGTGAGTTCCGGACCTTGGTATAACGAAGCGCCTTGGATACACGCAATATAACGAAGTACGAGTTGGTAAATGCCTTAAGTCAGCTTTTGTTGGACGATAAGATTTATTTTATTTATTTATTTATTCATTTTTTTTTGGGGGGGGGGGGCATTTCATAACCATCATTCCTATGGCACAGCTCAGTCACTTGTTCTCAGAGAAGAATACAAATTAATGAGTCAGTTGCGATGTGTAAAAAATGACAATGTACTGCATTTTGTGTTTTGTTTAACGTGTGTGTGTGTGTGTAATAATAATAATAATAACAATGATAATAATAATAAACGGTTTATTAATAGAGTTGCAGCCGTTGGCTGAAAATATACAAACTTACGTATGTGATTTAGACATAATAATATACGTTCAATATATATACAGGGCTCTACCGTACATAAATCATGAGTTGTTTATTATTTTAACAATAGATGGGATGGTGCTGCTCTTATATCTATCAGTGCGGGCTCTTATGGGCTGAATTTTGTTGTAGTGGCGGACTTTTTTTTTACGGGAATTAGCCCACCCGGGCACAGGTCAAACGACCCACAACGGAGCCTGGGTGACAAAAAAAAAGAACGGAAAGAAATTGAAAATAGAGAAGAAAAATGTTATACTGTGTTAATCTACACTATGAAGATGCCGGAAAACCAGCTTTTTAATGTGAGACAGATTGTAAAAGTATGGAAACACAGAAGAAGGCAGAGCATGTCACAGTTTGGCTGTGTGAGGAAAGAAGGAGGTACTATAACGGGTTATTCTCGTGTGACCGACATCCACAGAGAAACGGTGGGCACCGCGGGCAAGACGTGTGTTACGAACCCACGGCCTTGCCTGCGGTACACAGGATGCCAAATCCACCGAACATTGCCCGTTAAAGTACCTGTAAAAGAGAGAGAGTGAAGCAATATTGCGGCGAAGAGAAAGGGAAGAGAGATTGTCGACAAAAGGAGGAGAGTTAATAAGACGAAATGCCTTTGATTCCACCCTATCTAATAGTTGGACAGAAGAAGAGCCACCCCAGATATGAGAGCAGTACTCCAAGTTAGGACGAATGAATCCCTTATATACTTGGAGCAACTGCTCAGCAGTGAAGTAGCTGCGGCATCTGTACAGCATTGCGCGAGGTGGGCAGGGGACTGCCGATGGCAGTAAGTGGCGATGACGATGATGGTGCAGTAGTCCACTGCCAAACCCTGCGAGTGAGTGGTGGTGGAGGTCACTGAGGGATGGCATGTGTGTGTGTGAGTGTGTGTGAGTGTGTGTGTGTGTGTGTGTGTATACATGGACCATGAAACAAGGACCAAAATAGTACTTCTGAACTGAACCTTGGACATGTATTAAAGTTCAGGTGGAATTCATAGTTGGAGTGACACGAAAAATTAAATTTAGAGACACACACACACACACACACACAAAGGCTTAAATTTTGAATCTCATTACTGAAATCTTCGGTGACTGATCATGTTCATCTCCTGTTAGCTGGCAAGAAAAATGCTGTATAATACCTTGCCTTTTCCTTGAATGTAAAGAATAATAATAAGATTTAGTACATTTTCACTAGTTAAGTTTTTCATATCTTCCCGTAGTGAACTGAACTCTAGACATGCATTAACATGACTAAGCTAATTGTGCTTATTTACACACACCCAACCATATCCAGGTACTCGGGATCTATTTGGGTTTGGTCACAGCTGATCATGATAAAGGAACTGCATATTTTAGATTAGCCATATTCCCATTTAGAAAACCAACGTATATTTTCCACAGTTCACATTACTATCTAGAAAATGACTAGATCATTCTTATTCCTATTTAGAAAACGACTGGATGTTTTAGATAATTCTTATTCCAATTTAGAAAGCGACTGAATATTTGAGATCATCCTTATTCCAATTTAGAAAACGAATGGATGTTTTAGATCATTCTTATTCCTATTTACAGAACATGTGGATAATTTATGTGCGATCCTCGTAAAATATTCGGACAATGTCAGTCGGAAGGTGTAGAGTTAATACTTGCTCTACCAACATTTAACACCACATTTAAGGTAAAAAAAAAAAAAAAGAATAAAACATTACCTAACGACATAATCGATAAATACTGTATTATATAAAATGACTACTTGAAGTCACCCTAAGCTGTGACTAACTGTACACGGTGACGAGGCGGAAGAGAAAACTAGTATATATATAGACATTAGCTTCAAGGCTTCTCAAGGATTCATTTTTGTCACACATTTTACAAAGGTAGAATATAAACTGCTGAAATGAAACACAGACACATACAGACAATACTTAAGTGTTGTTTTCTTATAAATTAGAAACATCACGACTTTGTATATCATCACATTATTACCTTACAGGGTTTCTTCATCCTTCACCTCAAGGTGGAGGGAAACCATTAACAGATACTTTAGTTATCTTTTAAAGCCTATAAGTACTTTCAAGTAAGTTCTTTAAGCTAAGATGGATATATATATGTACATACACAAAATTGATAAGGAGTTCAATATGAAAACAATAATTGCCAGTTACTTTGCCTCTGTTTTAAGGTGATAAGATCTTTCCACACGTGTGAGAAGTTTGAGTTACATTTTAAAGCATAGTACTTATTTTGAATATATAAGTCCTTTGAGCTATAAATTAACAATACTCACATATAAAGGACTCATCTGTGGAGATTCCTGACCATCATAGACAAGGTGGAGTCTACTCCTGCTAGTTTTTTTCTTTGATTTTTCATTTCGCTGAGAAGTCACCAATTGAAGTTTTATCCGACAACAGTACCATGAAATGTTCAGAAAACAAAAAAAAATATTGTAGCCTCCAGAAACTGTGGCGTCAGATCTAAATTCAACATACACACAGGTGTCTTCTCGCGTCCTTCCGTCACCACAGTCCAGTCCGGGATATCAAGAATTTATCTGAGTGTCGTAGAAGCGGCTAGTATGTCAAGCGTCCAACAGCAGCACAGAATAAACAGATTACCACTGAGGCTCTGAAACACAGTGTCAGTATTTCTAACTGTAAATAATCGACCAATAATCAGTATGTACACGTAACATCTTAATCATAATTACTAGAAAGTCGTTGGGAGGGCTTCAGCATCCTCTAAACATTACAGTGAAATTCCTGGAATGTACGCTTAAAAAGGCTACCCAGGGTAATATATTCTTGTTTTGTCTCATATGGAGTAAGCTAAACTACTGAGGGCGGCGGGGGGGGTGAGTGTTGGAGAGCGCTGGATATGTTGGAGAGTCAGCTGGGGATGTATTCCAACATGGACGTCATCACCATCTCCATCACAACAGCCAGTGCCACTACTACCACCAGCTGCTGATGCTGTTGTTGCTGGCCGACCCCGAGACTGCTGCTGCTGCCTGGGGGAGGAGGACACGGTGATCACCATACTAAACAAGAACACACACACACACACACACACACACACACACATGGCTATATTCACAATCCACATGAGCACATTTTCCGTAAGACGCGAATGTATTGCTCGTGAAAGCAAACTGCAAGAGTAAGATTACAGCTACTTTCCCAGAACACCCACTTATGCCAGCTAATGTCGTGCTATTTTTACTGTGCCTCGCCCTAACTTATAACAGGAAAATTCCGAACACAGCTGATAATGACAAAGCATTGCCGAATTACCTGTATTTTACACCTGGAGAATTATTACGTGTGGAGTCATCTAACGGCATATTAGAAAAAGCCTGAATAATGATGTGTTGAGGAGAGGAAGACGGTGGCGGTGTAGAAAGTTAGTTGTCCAGGAGTCTTTGATGTACTGTTCCCTGGGCCGAGGAAGACGGCGGGTCTCTCTCTCTCTCTCGTCCGATTCCCTCTACTTGACTCTACTTTGACCTCACAACACAGATGTAGCTTTCAAGTGACCTGTTTGGAAATCTATTACTGATCTACAAGTGATAATTTTGGCCTCCCACTTCCAGCCGACGAGTGGTTTGCTGTCCACTAATAATGTGATATATAGGACGGAAATGACCGACGAGGCAGCCACCCAATGAGATTTTTTGCCCATAAGGAAAAGAAACTCATTCGAAAATTGAAATCACACCCATGTTTAGTGAGGTGTGTAATCCGAACCTAAGGAGCAACCTAAGAAAATACAGACAACTCGCCAACCTCACTCACTAACTCACCATTACCTCGCTACACAATTCGCGAATCTATTTGTATTCAGGTCGTCCGTTACTGTTGGGATAAACAGAGACAAATAAAACAAACAAGCTTGCCTGGTGTTCGTCCAAAATGAACTGTATTGAAAGATTTGTAACTAGACTACGCTTCCATGGCTCTTAGAAAACCCACTTGCCTTACTGGTGGTTCAGAAGTTATCAAACTACCATTTTTTTTATTTTTTTTTTGTTTTATAGGTGACTTTTTTTATCCTACGGTAATATGTATCTCACTTACCTGACAAGGCAAGTATGTCGCGAGATTCCATGGCGGGCACGTTGTAGGTAAGCTGACCATCAACACTGTGCTGCTGAGTCTTGTAGTAGAGGCTAGAGATCTTGGCAGTGCACTTCAGGTTCATCGCGCCGTTGTGGAAGTGCTCGCGGGTCACCCTAAATTTCAGTCCCTTTCGTGTCTCCGTTAACCCGTGCTCAGAGTGGCTGGTGTTCATGTCAATGGTGTACTCTTCTGGGGCCTGCCAGGGGAGAAACCACCACATGATTAACTTCTAAATGTATCAACGATATATATCACAAGTAAAAATTCTTCGACGTACTCACATATCTTGTGCTGATTACTACTACTACTACTATTACTACTACTACTACTACTACTACTACTACTACTACTAATAATAATAATAATAATATTAAAAATAACAATAATAATAATGCTAATAACAAATAGCATGAACAAAACTAATAACACTGATAACCATGATGAAAATAATGAACAAATTAGTTTAATAACACCAGAAGAATTGTATTTTCGACATAGAGGGATTGAGGAGTAGTGGCCACGTTGAAGTCGACTGTTTGTTAAATTGAGGAGATGATTGTGGGAGTCGAGGTAATGCGTGATGTGGAGCGAAGAAGGGTGGGTGAGGAGGTGGGTGAGGAGGTGGGTGAGGAGGTGGGTGAGGAGGTGGGTTTGGTGGTGGGTGAGGAGAGGTGGGTTTGGTGGTGGGTGAGGAGGTGGGTTTGGTGGTGGGTGTGAGGAGGTGGGTTTGGTGGTGGGTGTGGGAAAATAGAAGAGGAAAGGTGTGTGTGTGTGTGTGTGGGTGTGTGTGTGTGTGTGTGTGTGGGTGTGTGTGTGTGTGGGTGTGTGTGTGTGTGTGTGTGTGTGTGTGTGGGTGTGTGTGGGTGTGTGTGTGTGGGTGTGTGTGTGTGTGGGTGTGTGTGTGTGTGTGTGTGTGTGTGTGGGTGGTGGGTGTGTGTGTGTGTTTCTGGATGATAGTCTGATCTCTGTGTTTGAGAGAGAGAGGGGAGTAGTGTGCTGAATATAGAAAATAAAGAAATAATTAATGTTAACAGACTAAAGAAGAAAGAAAAGAGAGAGAAACAGGAGAGAAGAATAGCAACACCCACGGCCCTGACACACACCAATTTGTGGCCGCGTTCATCCAGTGAATAGAATTCTTTATAATGTGATTTAGAGTGAGCTTAATGCGATTACTTTTGGCGAGGCAAATTTCCTGCCGCAGGGTCTCTGTTTGATCATGATAGCGCTACACTCGGGATATGACCAACAAAAAATCAAAATAAAATATACGACCCCGTTTTATTAAATGAGGATGATACTTTTTTAAAATAAATAAATAAAATAATCTAATCATTTTTAATCATTTTGCAGTCAACAGCATAATGTTCGATGATTTAATCCCTTGAGGAATATGGATAAAGCTTCTCAGTACGATTATTAATTTTAATTTCGATGACGACAACAAACTATGATGACGACGACTAGTCACGACTCCTACGTCTGTGTCTCGAGGCCGCCTCTTATCTCGTGCAGGCAAACTGAAAAATCTTCTTCAGCTCAATATATCTTTATTTGTTGGTTTACGAGGCCGACCAACCTAACCTAACCCAAATTTACAGATAACAAAACAAAACAAAATATCAATAAGTAAAGAAAAACTCAAGCACAGTTTTTATGGACTCCGGCTGAAAATTTGTCTTTCAGCAAAAGAAAAACAAAATCTGGAATTCTGTTGGAGTTCAATACTTATATTTTGTGTGTGTGTGTGTGTGTGTGTGTGTGTGTGTGTGTGTGTACTGTGGATGTTGTCAGGCACACAATATTATTTTTTCTACGGAAGTGAAAAATGTTTGGCTTTTATTTTTGAAAAAAAAAACAGTTAATAAATTCTCAGACTTCTTTCTGAATATGATTTCTTTGTTTTCTTTATGCTATCGTCCAGGGATCCCATGTTATTGACCTGACCTGATGGTTTGTAAGGTCACCCTGTGCATATAAGCCTCTCTCAATCCCGGTAAATTCAGTTTCCTCTGAAGATGTCTTGAATAAAGACGAAAGCTAAGGTGCTCCATTGTTTCCCTTTTCCTGTAAAATTTTCGGGGTGATCGCACAAATACTTATATTACACGAGGAACATTACCCTCACTTGTGGGAGGCCTCACACATCAAGAACTGGGGGCAATGTTGCTGTTGTAATACAAGAGTTCATGCGATCTCTACGAAAATCAGTATGGCAGTGCGTATATATTTTCTGAGACAACCTTTTATATTACACTATTGGGAATAATTGTGATATAACGATAATTTGACACCGGTATGTGTAAACGTTTCATTTTCTACACATTTCACTTTATTTTGAGCTTTTCGATCGTTCAAACTCCTTATTTTCCTTTCGAATATTTTTTGTTTTATATATATTGATATATACACCAATATGACAACTCACTTTAACTTTTTATTTAAATTCTTTTCAATTTATGCGTTTTATATCTGGTAGAGGCGAGTTAAAACTGTCAAACTTCACACTACAATGTAATAAAACCACCGACAACACACGCTAGACACATTAGCTCACTACATTATTTTCTCCATAAAGGTTCATTATCCTGTATTTCAGTAAGTGGGGTGTGTGTCTGGCCCGACTGCTGCGTCACGGGTCTTCATAAATAGCAGTATGTGCAACTTAAAGACCCAAAATAGATTATTACGCTTCACAGAACACCAATGTTACAATGTAAGTGTTACTATGGTAACACGGAACAGCAATGTTACAATGTCAGTGTTTCAGTCACAGTGCCATCCTCATATCTGAGGGTTGGCGACCACAGTCCTCCAGTCTAAATATTCTCAGGCTGTTTTTACCAATCCTCCAAGGTTTTGTATCTTTCTGAGGATCCAGTTTTCAATTTCATTCCTCCATCCCAGCCTCCGCCTTCCCCTGGCCCTCCTACCCTCAACTTACCCATCAATGTTTCTCTTATTATCTCCTCATCCCTAATTATATATATATACAAACTATCTCATGTCTTTTTCTGTACATTTCAAGTACATTATTTTCAAGATCATCTCTCTTAACCTCTCTTCATTCCCGTTGTTAATGTTTAAGCATCACTTCATTTTCTCATATTTAGTACTCTATTTATTTGCTTTAAAATTTCATTTGTTATCCACTCACTTTTAGTCTCGCTCCTCCTATGTCCTATAAGTTTTTCCCCAGTCTCTAACATTACTTCTTTGTAATTATTAAATTGTTGTCCAGTTCCGTGTTCATCAAAGTCACCCGCTAGCAATACTGGAAATCTATTTTCGGTTTCAATTTCATATTCTATCCCTAAATTCCATTTGATTTTGTTCATAGTTTTTTTTTATCAAGTCTTAGCCCCACTAAGCTCATTACTTGGACGTGGTGTGACCCACAATCTGTCCCTGGATAGGTCTTGGTTCGGGGTTATTGAATTTCGGAATCTTTCGTGAATAATAATCTAATATACTATAGGACTAGACGTGTGTCTGTCTGTCTGTCTGTCTGTTCTGAGCAGCCGACACTGCACAATCATTTTTCATCAAACTTGGTGAAAAAGTCGCAAAAAAGTCGTAGAGTGGAACAAACCTGGTCCCATGTCGATGGTTTCTTTAGGAAAGCATTAATTAACCATTTTATTTACGCTGGCAAAAGATGTCGCTGTACGCTGTCAGCCGGACGATTGCAGTTATCGTACGGCTCCCTCCTCCTCCCCCCACTTTTTCTCTTAGCCTACTTTTTTTAATGTTGTTTGGATTAGTAAAGGAAGGAAGATGAGTAAATAGAAGAATAAAGAAGGGGAAACAGAAAATAGTTAGAGATAACAGGTGGGGGGGAACTGAGTTTCATCATGCGTTTGGATGCGCAGTTTCAACGTTACCAGAACATTTTCGGACCGTACGAGGCTACAGTGTATACTTATTCCTGTGGCTGACTGTACATGGAAAAGGAGAAGTGATAAAAAGATAATAATAGGAATGCATGGAGAAGATAGAAAGGGAGAAGAGAAGGAGAAGAAACATTATTATCCTTAAGAGGCGAGCAAGGAAAGGAGATGGGAGAGAGGGATAGTGAGAGGTGGAGGTATGAATGGAGGGATGTGTTTTTTAAAGTTCTCAGAATACCATATTAAAATCACCTATTTAATAAGGAAGAAAAGTGCTAAATATGATGAGTAGTGTAATGGAGAGACATAGAGATAGTACGGATAAAAATGGAGAGGGAGAGAAACGAACAAACAAAAGACATAATACAGACTGATTCAAGGACACACAGAAAGACAGACAGATAGACAGACTTATGAAAGACAAAGACAACAGACACATACATACAGACGGACAGACATGACTACACAGGGTGAATAAAGACAGTGAAGCAGACAGGAGGTTGACAAAAATAGACAGATTCATACATGCACAAACAGACAATATGGCAACTAACATGACAGACAGACAGCTGACTGACTGGTTCACATTAGACAAACAGGCAGACACACGCCACAACGGATAAGACAGACAGATTTGACGACACAAAGAGTACAGACGGGCTCACAGTCAAACACCACGCAGACGAACAGACAGTTGGGATGGCAGTAAACAGGACAGATAGACTTGAGACAGATTAGAAGGCATTTATAAACAAGAATAACACCAAATTGACCATAGCTGCGTCAGTGAGGGTAGCTGGTCTTACATCCACCAGCGTAAATAATAAGACGCAGTTTAAACTAACACCCTCGCGCGGAAAGAACATCTATGGTCGGTCAGTCGTGTGAGATGGGCCTAAAACTGACTTACGTAGATGATGACTATGATGACTTAACACAGGTGATAACTTAAGCAGACGGTGACTAACCTAACCAGAATCAAGGTCAGTTCTCTTCATAATATAATTTATCTCGGAATGATCATCGGTGATTCAAAATATTTTTTTTTTATGATTTTAACCTCTCCTTATGGCGAATATTTCTTTAACTAATTATTCTAACCTTTATTCTATTCCTTCCTATAGTATACTAGATACTTACAGTATCCGTAAGACATTAGCTATTGGAAATGTGATAAAATGTTTTGTTATTAATCCAGTGTGAAATGTATCGGTATTGGTGGTACAGTCCTAATGGTCTCTAATCCTGTTGATTATGTGAGGTTAATCTGGGTTTATTGAGATTAAAGATTAGGTGTGGGGTTTAT